CATACATACAGTATATTTATAGTCTGTGCATATTTTATTGTTGCTCTTGTTTTGTCTGTACGAAGATTGGTTGAGGCCCTGTCACACTAACATTTAGACAACTTATGCTGACTTATGAAAAGTTTGTTAAACTTTAAGTTTAGAAATCAAAATCTATATTTCCACTTTGCAACAGTCCTGAGTCTTAATACATTTTCCTAATTACTAGACACAGATTGATTTTATAGACACAATGAACTTTATTAGATTATAACAGTCCTGAGATAAACTAATCCACTTATGACTCCATAAACCCCGAGACATGACCGTGGCACAAGACTTTTCTAACCACAGAACAGAAAAACACCAGAAAGGACRATCATTCTTCATCCATATATAAGAATAAGAAATATATATTTTCTGCTTTAAAGTACTCCAAAGTCCCAACAATAACATCAGCCGTTCACTTTGTTTTGTGTGATTTCACCCAGAAGTACAATTATCAGAACGCTGTGGAGAGAACTCTGGCAGATGTTTACAAAGCATCGGCATCTCAGCTGAGGATTTCACTGAAGAATGCTTCACAGAGCCTCAGAAGCTTTGCACTAAAAGCATATCTGTAATATAAAACAAACAGATGGCTCACTGGCTCTATTTAGCTTTTGTGGACAGCGCTCGTGTTCTTTTGTTTAGTTGCACACAGTAGGACTAAGCTTGTTATTCAGAGGATCAACAGATCCTTCTTTTTAGGTTAGTCTCTCATTCAGTTTTGCTTAGTAGATAAAATCTCCAGTTGACTACATAAACCTATATGTCAGCCCACATAAATCTTTAATCCCTAATTGTTGACCATTTGCAGCATTTAAACTGACCTCTTTATTGTTTCTTTGACATTATGCTCTTTCTTCTCTAGAGTGAATTAGCAGCATTGGAGAAGTGTTGCACTAAATAAATGATTCAGAGACTAAACAGACAGTCACTGTTGCCATGGCAACTAACGGGGCATTTCTTACTGTTGTACTCACAACACTCCAAGGTGACCACTAGTTGGTATGTTARGTTTGAGAATATAAGATAAGCATATTTATTTATATTTATATATTCATATTACATGTCTGCCCACCACATGCTGWGTTTTGGAAATGTATAGAATATGCCTCTTTTCCACAAAACTTTTAAAGACATAAAAAACTATTATGACAGCCAAACCAGTGACTAATTCAGTAAAAACTTTTACATAAAGTTATACAATAAATTCCGTGACATTATTTTCCCAACAATACATAAATTGTGCAGCACAGAGAGAACTGCAGAGCAAGAAACAAGATGCAAGTGAGAAGTCTATCTGCCATGTTTGCAGGGATGATTCATTATCACCTGCCAACAAAGGCAAATAATTGTGGTAATAATAATAATAATAGGCGGCACGGTGGCTCAGTTGGTAGAGCTGATGCCTCTCAGCAAGAAGGTCACCGGTTCAAATCCCGGTCCGGGGACCTTTCTGGGTAGAGTTTTGCATGTTCTCTCCGTGCATGCGTGGGTTCTCTCCGGGTACTCCGGCTTCCTCCCACAGACCAAAAACATGACTGTTAG